AATGCATAAATATGGTATGCATACATTGGGAAGCCTGCCTTCTCATAACCAGGAAGTAGAATTGGTAATTTTATTACTTAGTGACATAAAGTAAAAGCTTCCATGGAGAGAGCTGGAGGTAGCATTAGTGAGCTACAGAGAAAGGTTGGCGATGCTCAGCAATTTCGTTCCAAGAACGTCCACATCCATCCATGGCTGTCTATGAGTTTGTTCTATAAAAGCCACAAACTGTTTCACAAGGGCTATAAATATAAGTGATTGTGTGTCTAGAGCACTGCTTTGTGACCCCAGGGAATAAAAGCAGTCTCTACCATAGCAGGAGAAACACCAAGGGCCTACGGGCATCCCCAAAGTCATCTAAACAAAACCTGAACAACAACTCCCTGAAGAAAGCTTTATGAAGCAGAGAAAAGTCACTGTGGAAAAAAACGTCCAAAAGGAAAGAACACTAGCCCAGGGCATTGTGATTATGGAGGTTACCTACAAAATACTAGATGTAAGAGAAAATTAATAAAGATTATCTTCCTGGATGCCCTTCCATTTCTGTATACAGAATCAACACTAGAAGCAGATCTTTCTGTTTTAAAAGACTTCCAAAGATACTGATTCTGCCCTGCCCTGTAGGAGCGACACAATTGGGAGCGAGGTTTTATGTGTGATTCAACAGGATGTGCACCCAAGCACCAATGTTTTGCATCTCTTCCAAGCTAAGAAGAAAAAGACAAAGATTTAGCTCTTTCTTCACTGGCATCTAAGACTCAATTTCCTCTATGTACCAGGCTTTATCTCCTCATAAGATCTACTTTCTCTGCAAATCCAGGCTAGCTTCCTGAACCTATCCTTTTAAAGTATCTGAAAATTGTTTTGAGTTTTTCTCTAGAGTTATTTCTTTCCCTAGAAAAAGGAAGAAATAAATGCTTTTTCTCAAGCATGATTGTCTGGAGGAAACATGAATACTAGCTGTGTACCAGGCTCTTTGCAGGCACATCACAACTGTGATGTTACTAATATCTTTTTTTAAGACCTTGTGAGGTAGGTATTATTTTCATTTTCCAGTTGAAGACACTGGGGCATGGACTGGCTGAGTAATTTCCTTAAGGCCACATGGTTAGCGGAGTTCCATCTGACCCCAGCCGAAGACCGCACAGTCTGTGCCAACTTCACTACATTCACCAATTTCATTTCCTCCTTCTTTAATTAGTTTCCATTCCTCCACAAGTTGTGGCAAAATGACTGCTAGTTAATATTAAATATATTTTTGTTTATTAGTTTACTGTTCTTCATTATATGCCATTAGATGCTAAATGTATCGAGCATATTGATTTCTTTAAATCTTCTATGCACATGCTATAATCTTCTGGTTTGAGTATTTTAGTTTTTCCTAAACAAATGTTTAACTTTTCAGATATAAAAATATTCTTGCCAGGGCCAGGGATTTAGCTCAGTGGTTCCGCCACCTGCCTCACAAGCGCAAGATCCCGAGTTCAATCCCCGGTACCAAACAAACAAAAAAAAACTTTTGCCATTTCAAGATAATCTATCATTTGCTGTTGTTTCAGATCAAACAAGAATGGAATGCTCTTTAAGCATGGTGTCATTAATATTAAGCAGAGACACTCGTGGGTTTTCTTGTCCTGTTTCTCTATCAGAAAAGAATATACCTCCATTTGGTTTCACATCACTTACAAGTAATTCTTTTCTACTCACTTTTTGGGTCTTAGCATACCTAAGTCCTCTTCTGTGAAAAGACAGCCAGGATTTGTGGAAACCCTGAATTTGATGTCCACACTGAACAGCAATTACATTAATTTACTGGGTAGTAGAGAAACACTTTCACTTTGCAGAATGGTAGTTTCTACCTAAATGATGGTTTGCAAACTTTTAGCTCCCTGATAAGATCTGATACATCCATGATACAAACTACAGTGCCTGACCAAGGGTCAATAATTTGGAAAACACTGTAAGATCTACATAGTGAAAGGTCAGAAGTTGTGTTTCAGGCTTAGTATAGCAGCTTGTACTGTGGAGAACATCAGCATTTGAAATTAATCACTGAACTGCCACTGCAGGATGTCAGAGTTAAGTGAGTGACAGTGCAACACCATACTCATTCCCTTTTGCAAATATAATGATGATTTTTTCCTCTGGCTTTGTGCAGGTGGAATGCTGAGTGTGATCCATCCAAAGGCTATGCAAATTCTTCTGCTAGTGAAGGCAGGACCACCCCCCCACACACACACCAGGCAGTTATGCAGCATCAGCAAAAACAGGCTCCAAAACAACTGCGCATCACACAGGCAGCCAGTGAAGTAGAGGGAACTGAGCAGGTGTTCAGCTGCCTGGTGAATAGTCTATTTAAAAATTCAACAATAGTCAGAGGGAAGCAGGGACCACAAGAGCCACCACTGTGATTGGTGGAACTAGCACTTCTTGATTGAGTATAAACTAATGCCCTTAAAAAGGGCACAATATGAAGAAGATATCCTAAACCTAGTGCATCACTTCCTCTCATCAGTATTAATGAAGAAGCATGCTCTTTAGGAAAATTACTGAAAGAACCACTGATACCCCAAATCCATGGCTGCTTCCATGTCAGATCTCCCCATAAGATATTAATCATTGGCTAGATAAAATAGGCAAAGACACTCTCTCACTGAAGAACCAACTAATTATCTCTGATAACTCTTTTGAAAAGCAAATGTGGATGTAAAAGTTCAAGAGAAAAACATGGGAAATGCATTTATGTCTAGACTTTGCCAAGAAAATAAGGGAGTTTAAGTGCATGAAATCAAAAGATCTTACTAAACCAGAATTTCAAATCAAGGTTTTAAAAAAATCAGCCTCTTATTTTAGTGCATCTTGTCTTTAGAATTTTATGTTTATACAATCAGCTGAGAGTGAATATTGCTGTATATTAAAGATGTACATGGCCCCTATATGGTAAGTAGCACAAACAGAAAAATTATAAAGATAAAAAATGCTTTTCAGGCATCTCTTCCCTTAGAACACTGCACACTGCTATAAACTGCATCATAAGCAGACTATTGGAAAGCAGATCAAGCACACAAGGATATCTTCACAACACCAGCAGAAAACTTAAAATGGGTGGTTCAAGAGAGCAGAAAATAAAGTAGATGTGATTACTGGGTACCACAAAACAAGGGATACAGGCAACACGAAGAGCAGGAAAGTATGAAGGGGAAAAACCCAAGGCTGCCTGTACAATATACAGATTTTTTCAAATGTAAATTTTAAAGTGAATGCTGCTATTATGCTCCTGCATAAAGGAAAGCATTACAAGGCTGCTCTACTTCCCTTTAAAAACAAGGCATAAAGAGAGTAAGGGATGTGAAAAGCCAATTCTTTGTGCTGCTACTTAATCAATCGCACTCAGTTCTACTCAATGGCATAGCCACCCTGCAAAGACCACGCAGCAGTTAATGGATATGATGCCGGAAAAGCACTTTGAGGTCTTCCAAAGAAAGGTAGAGTAAAAACCCAAAGGAGCATGGTTTTATTACCCAGTCTCAACAATTGAGCAGCAGTGTGTATGAAATGTCCATGACCTGAAAAGAAATAAAGATAGTAATTTATTCTGCAAATTCTGACTCTTTCATATGAAATCATTTCTTTCAAAAGTTGAACCAAGAAATCACAGTAGAGTTATCTGGTGCCCTAGTCTGGTCTAATCAGGATAACCATTACATGCTGAAAGGAATAAATACATTCTTCAAGTGTTACAGCCTACGCTTACAATCTGTCAAAATGTGGAGCTGAGGAAGAGTTATGTGTTCTTGACTGTATACATCCGTCACTAGCTATCACTCTTCACACAGACAGGGAAAAGTCAACAATGAAACATAAAAGCTAAAAATAATCCACTGAGCAATTGCTCAGAAAAGCTGCATGTTGGACATAAGGTTAAATGTACATTCCTTCCTTTCTTAATTACTGCCAATTTAAAGTAATTGATATTAAGAGTTTGGATATAGGAATAAAGAAAATAAACATGCTCCACATAAATATGTAAAAGTTGATCATAAGTAAAATTCCATGCTTGTAACCATACTTGGTCAGTTCTCTGACTAGCATGTGCCCAGAATGCAAGTAGTGACTAATATATGTTGCTGTAAATACCATGAAAAAATGACAGATATAGGCACTTCAGATGCTCAAAAAATTGTTATTTCATAAAAGCTAAAAATATTTCTTCATTTACAGGTGTTCAGATATTCATCTCCAAGAGTCAATCAAATTAACCTTTAATAAAGACCCACTGTGTGCAATTTCCTATGCTCTCAGGTCAGAAAATACTACATAAAAATGAGCATGGTTTATATGCAGGAAAAGCTTCAAATATATGTATGAGCACTGACTATAGAAAAAGTATAATCCAAAACAACTTTATATTTAAAAATTAATAAGTAGATTTCTTGGTTTTCCTCTCAATTTTTAGGAATTTATTAGATGAGAAAGACAGCATAAAAACCCTAAAAGTTACAAGTTAGAAATGTTACATATGAAAAAGGAGACAAATCTTACAACAGTAGCTTTTCAATTTTTTCCAGCTTCAAAATGATTCATATAACCAAGTCTCATAGAAACCATAATATATAAGTGAGATAAAAGAGGCACGTAATTAATACAAATTTATTTCATAAGCTCAACTTAGAACATTTACTTTTTAGGTAAATAGGTTTTGTGATAAAGAGAAAAATGAGAAATAAGATTACAGTTGCATTTTTCTGTGAGCCTCAGCATCTGATTCATTTTGGTACTTTGGAGTTTTTTGCACTGAGAAAATTCTGACATACACCTATGTGATTACATATAGTAACATTTAACAGCTCCCTTGAAATCGCAAGTTATTCTCCAAGAAACAGAGAATAGCAGGAAAAGCTTCATCCCACACTATAAACCAAAACTCAATAATCTATTAGCACAAATTAACTCATCATTGGGCTCAACTATGGCAACATTTTCCACATTGTACATTTAGCTGGGTATTGCAGTTTTTTATTACAATATTTAAAGCTAAATCCAACTGTTCAGAAACCCAAAGCTTCCGCTCAGAATGCTTCAGGGTTAGTAAAATCTCAATTTGAAAGCCTGAAAAGCTTGCCAGGATGCACTGGTTTGGTGTCAACATTCAGGAATACAGGTGACCAATCCACATATAGCACATGAACACCAGTTGGCCAACCTAGGATTCCAGCAGTGTGTGCCATCTACACACTTGTTGGCCTTTGATTTCCTTCATTTCTTCCCAGTGATCTTGCTCCTCCTCTCCACTGCTGTTCTGTCCCAGAGCAATCCAGCCAATCATTTCTTTACGCTTCATAGTACGCCTGTTATAAATGGAAATCATCAGCGTGACATCTGAGAGCTGGAAGAGAGCCACCTGGAAGACAAAGGTCTCCTTGTACACAGGATTAGGCTGACCACGTCGAAGGCTTGTCTTGCAGCGGGACATCTCTTGACCCACAGAATTGAGCAGAAAGAGTTTTCCATATGTATCTATGGCAAAAGCAAAAACAAGAGATGAGAAAACCCCAGTGCTTTCTGTTGGCCAGTTTAGTTGTACTATTTTTTTCCTCCTCCACCCTTCCGTATTTACAAAGACTTTGTTTCCATTTTCTCCTTTTCTCATATTTTTTCTTTTCCCTTCTTTTCTTTCCCCTACCTCTCCCACTTCCCCTACTCCTATAGACCTTTTCTTCCTATTTCACAATATCAATTATACATTTTGATTCTTATTTACACTTTAGTTTTTCACACCAGAGAAACTATTTGGTATTTTCACGTGTGTCCTATTTATTTCACTTAAGAGTATGGCCTCAATATGC